ACAGCCAGCAGACCAGGCAGCTTCTCCTCTGCGCCAGCCCACGTGGAGCGTGGTGTACCCTGGCTGAGCGCCATGGCCAGCTGCTTCTCTTCCCTCCAGGGAGGCTGTGCCTAGCTCCAGCTGTGAAAGCCACAGTCAGCTGGCTGGGGTGTTTCAGCCCTCCCGACCTCCCAGCTCCCACCATTCCTCGCAGCTATTCACCTGTGTTGTTGCTCAGTGAGTAGCTGCTCCTCAAATGAGGAAATCTAATGTAAATGTACTGCGCAGGTGCGCAGTTCAGAGAAGGCTCAAGAGCTACTCTTCGAGCCCCTGAGATCTACCGGTAGCTCATGATCTACTGGTTGGTGACCACGGTCGTACACTCTAAGCAAGGATCATTTCTGTAGATCAGCAAGCCACACTTTGCTGCTATTGGTTAGTGTAGTTTTTCTTTGGGTCTTGTCAGAGGTATCTGAGAAAAATATCTTACCAGGAAGTCAACTGGATCATCAGGTCTGATCTTGCAACATTCATTCAGTCCTTGCATAAGTGTTGGCATGACATTCTTCATTAAGTAGTTCCTTAGTGGAATAGACTGGACCTCAAGTAATTCCTGTTCCTGCCTTTTCACTTCCTCTAGTCGTCTATTCTAGAAGTAATAATAATTATTTTAAAATGTAATCCTCTATTAAATAGTATTTGAAAAATTTAGAATGCTGGCTTATAGGAAAAACATCAGTTAGAATCATGGAAAAAAAATTTAAAAATACATAGTTATTATAACAATTTGTACCTGTAGTTCTTGCATTTGAAGGACGGGGTACATGGGTGGGAAGGGGAGGAGAGAGAAGAAAATAACTTAGTCCAGTGAAAAATGAGACTGTCTTTCTTACTATTTTTTTATTATTTTCTTTTCTCTCTGTCATCTAAGACTGGCTGAGTCTGAAGATGTTTTCCATTGTTCATATTGCCAAAAGCTGAAAATGTTTACAAGTCTCAGGCAAAAAGCAGTTATTTTTACATGTGCAGGAAGCTTCCTGAGCCTTTTCGGGCACTGTTTTGAACTTCACAGAGAACACTATGGTCCTACTAGATAGTTCTACAGAAGAGCTCATACATACAATTTTAAGTGCCAAGGGACTTGCATCTTTTTACAACAGCTGATAATGCCTTAGGCCTCCATGAATTCTGTTTAAATCTAAGAAGCTTGTGGATAGATTTGTTTTGTATACTGTAATAATACTCAAAAAGAAGAGAACAAACAATTTTACTTTATATCCTGCTAACATATTAATATAATATGAATATGAATATCAATATTAATATTTATAATAGTATATTATAATTAATAAAGTTTTGTCCACTCAATAACATCTCATCTGAAGAAGTGGGTTTTGCCCATGAAAGCTCATGATAATCTATTTGTTAGTCTCTAAGGTGCCGGAGGATTACTTGTTGATATTAATGGAACATACTTTCTTTGTAGTGTCAGTATAATGGCAAGGAAGATTACTTTCTGGTAATGCGATTTGTTGTAGTCCTTTCTTTTCCCATCTTACCCAGCAGTAACTTGGGTTAGTAGTGGTTACAGCAAACTGTAGAAATTCTGGAGAACTTGAAGGACAGCTCTTTCATATTTAAAAACTTCCACAAGAGTCAGGTTCAAACAATGACAGATGAATGGGTGAATGTCTTCCAAGTCAAATAATCACATACTTCAGTTTTCCAAGTTCACCTTGTTGACATACCTCAGCAGTTTGCAATGTTGTAGCTTTGTTGGTCCCAGCAAATGAAAGAAACAGAATGGGTGAGAATACCTTTTAATGGACCAACTTATTTGGTGAGAGAGACAAGCTTCCAAGCTCGTATAAACTCTTCAGGACACAAAAGAGCTCTGTGTAAACTTGTCTCTTTCATTAGCAGAAGTTGGTTCACCTCACCCAACTTGTCTTTAATAGCTTAGGAGTCACATTTGTCATATTTAGATATGCTTTTTGAACATGAACATAGCATGTGAATCTTTACCCAAAGGAAAATGCAGGTCTTGCATGTAACCTTCTTTGAACAGATGGATAGTTGTTTAGATTTCCAAAGTGGTTTTTTAGTATACTAGAAGATTTACCCAGCATTGCTCAGGACATTACCTCAATTTTTGGTTTTTGGAAAATAAAATGAAAATGTACATGCTTCACTGAAATCATTGTTCTGGAGTGGGATTGAGGATCAGGGATTCAGTATGCAGGCTACCCAGGGAAAGGACTACACCAGCCCTCTCTCACTGCAGCAGTTTGACACCCCATGAGAAGTGCCTCTCCATCTCCGCAGCAGCTCCAGCGGGCACAACTGGGGGAAAGGTGCTTGTCCCCCCGCTGGGGCAGGTACAGATTCATCTGCTCCCTATGCTCCCCAGCCAGAGTGAGGAACACAGCAAACAGTGCACTTTTCCTTCAAAGGGGAACAACCAGCACTGTTCCTGAACAAATTGTGTGTGTGTGTGTGTGTGCACGCGCGCACGCGCTTCAGCCCCCCTCCTGTCCTTCCTAAAGAGTGCCTAATTGGGATGGCTTAAAGGGAAGCCTAGAGAGTAGGAGTCTTAGGGCTGAGGTAGTCCCAGACAGAGGTGGGAGATGCCTTTCCAGATGGCCCCTTTCACCTGCCTGGTGATTCTGTATATTTTCTGTATGGTTTTATGATAAATAATTCTGTTCCAGGCACAACCCATTTTCTTGGCATAACCAAACCCTTACCTTACTTTAAGTTATGATAAGAGGAAGTGGTATACCAAATTTGGTGGTCTAACTCTTACCATTTAGGAGGAGTTCTTGAACAAACAGACAAACTGATGAATAGATAGACAAACTCTTCAAAATGTATAATAGATAAGTTACGCTTAAGTACTTACTTTAGTCGGTATAGCGCTTTCACTACTGACTTTTTTGAACCCTTTGGACAGCACATATATAAGACAGTGGGTTCATTAACATAAAAGTCCACATTATGCTTTTAGACAAACTTTAGGGCTACGTCTACACTGGCCCCTTTTCTGAAAGGGACATGCTAATTTTCAACTTCAGAATAGGGAAATCCGCAGGGGATTTAAATATCCCCCGCGGGATTTAAATAAAGATGTCCGCCGCTTTTTTCCGTCTTGAGGAAAAGCCAGAAAAAAGCGTCTACACTGGCCCGATCCTCCGGAATAAAGCCCTATTAGACACTTTTTTCCGGCTTTTCCCCAAGCCGGAAAAAAGCGGCGGACATCTTTATTTAAATCCCGCGGGGGATATTTAAATCCCCCGCGAATTTCCCTATTCTGAAGTTGAAAATTAGCATGCCCCTTTCGGAAAAGGGGCCAGTGTAGACGTAGCCTAGGAGAAGGCAAAACACTGATTAATCAGGAAAAAATGAAGGTGGATGTAGATAATGCAAGGGCTCTACCTTGGTTGCCTATATTTCAAACTAGAGTCACAGCAACTACAAATGTCTCAGAGGGATAGCGGTATTAGTCTGTATCAGCAAAAATAAGGAGGAGTCCTGTGGAACCTTAGGGTGTGTCTAGACTACATGCCTCCTTCGACGGAGGCATGTAGATTAGCCAGATCGGAAAAGGGAAATGAAGCCGCGATTAAAATAACCCGTCCTGCGGATCAGCTGTTTGTGGGCAGATCGGGGCAGTCTGGACGCGACCCGCCGACAAAGAAGCCTTTCTTCATCGGCACAGGTAAACCTGGTTTCACGAGGCTTACCTGTGCCGATGAAGAAAGGCTTCTTTGTCGGCGCGTCGCGTCCAGACTGCCCCGATCTGCCGACAAACAGCTGATCGGCAGATCGGGGCAGCCATTTAAATTTAAATGAAGCCGCGATTATTTTAATCGCGGCTTCATTTCCCCCTTCCGATCTGGCTAATCTACATGCCTCCGTCGAAGGAGGCATGTAGTCTAGACACACCCTTAGAGACTAACAGATTTCACTTCATCAGATGAATTGGAGTGGAGTTTACTGAAGCATGGGTATATATAAGGACAACAAAAGGAAGAGTGTACTTCATAGTAGTAGATGTTGAAATGTGGATATCAAGAGAGGAGACTCTCAATATCCACATTTCCACATCAACCACTGTAAATGAACCACTTCCACCCTGACTTGATCAGCCTCATTTACACAAGCACCCTTTTGTTGTTGTTAAGACAGTCAGCAAAGGAAGAGGGAATACAAGGATCTCAACATCTCAACACTAGCACAAATACTCATCTTTGGAGGGAAGGGGTTACCACTCAGTGGGTAGTCAATCATGCAACCTTTGAAAAGTGGTTAACTGCCTCTTGAATTCAGTCTAATGAGGCCAAAGAGGAGGCAGAACTGAGGAATTGTTATCTTTGAAGCTGCCCTTTTTGACCCTTGCTCTTCTCTTTTCTTTCCTCAAAAACTTTCTTTGCCCTGACTTTTTTCTGATCTCCCTTGCCTACATTATTTTATCTTGCTAGAAAAAGAAAAGAGAAGGAGGACTGAGGTAATTGCCTTTCTTTGCTTATTGGGAAAGAAAACCCAGAAATAAACCACTAAAGAAAAGAGGCTGGACAGATCAAAAAGGGGCTACTATAGTAGCTACACTTCAGAATTAAATTACAAGTTCTCAAATTCAAAACTAATAAAAGAAAATACTATTTTAATTCAACCCAGTTAAGGCTGCGGAACTCAGGACCACAAGGTATTACTGAGGCCAAGCACACAGTAGGATTCTAAAAATTGTTAAATTTACATGAAGGGATGGATAGCTTGGTGGTTTGAGCATTGGCCTGCTAAACTCAGGATTGTGAGTTCAATCCTTGTGGAGGCCATTCAGGAATTTGGAGCAAAAATTTGTCAGGGATGGTACTTGGTCCTGCTGTAAAGGCAGGGGACTGGACTTGATGACCTTTCAAGGTCCTCTCCAGTTCTAGGAGATAGGCAATCTCCATAAATTTAATATCCAGAGTTATAAAAGTAAATATTAAGCAAAAAACAAGGGCCCAGGAAGGTATACAAAGTTATCAAAATGAGGGCATAATCCAATGCCTAACTATTGAGAGTTATAGGGAAACTTTCCATGAGGGCAAAATTTCCTATAATTGCTTACAAAGGGTGTTTTCTCCCAACACAGTTGGTATTGACCACAATCAGATGCAGGATACTAGATAGGCCACTGGTCTGATACAGAATAGCAATTCCTTTGTTTCTATAGATGGAGTTAAGCACTGCAGATAACTGACAAATGGTGAATTCTTATCATTGGAGTCCTAAAGATAATAATTGAGACTTTAACAGACACTATGTAAGAAGAAAGTAAACTGGAAAGGTCCTGGCAGGATGGAGAAGGAGGAGGAAAATGCTCATATTAGAGTGGACAATTACAAACAAGATAAAACAGGTTATTAATGCTACTATTTGGCTCCCCAAAATGATTTCCCTCAATTTTGTCAGTTCATTTCAGCACCTGAAGAAATGACATAATGTGAATTAATTTTGATATCCCAGGTGAATGGAAAGTTGGTAAGAGGGAAATTTTGGGCTCTCCTGGGTTTTGCTATCTTCCAATGGTTAAAACTTGCAGAACCACCCCGAAAGTCCACTTGAAGGACATTTATAGAAGCACAAGAGAGCTGCAATCTTTATGCTTGCTTTGTGAGAATTCAGAGCAGCCGCAAAAGTTAGCCAAAAAGGGAACATGGTCAATGCGCACAGAAGATGTGCTGATTTAGCGCATATCCTGGAGGGCTGCAACTAGGACAGCTTCAGTACTGTAGTTTCTGATCATCTGTTACAGAATCCCCAGAGAAGAGATAAAGTGATGGTATAACTCACTGGGTTACATTTATTCCAGCTTGTGTGTAAGAGCTAATAAAGCCCCCTATCTTCTTCTTCATTGGATGTTTAGGGTGTGTCTACATAGCACCATAACTCAAAATAAGATACAAGATTTGAGCTACGCAAATTGCATATCTTGTTTCAATGCTATTTTGAAATAGCTTATTTCATCATTTCATTTTGAAATAAAGCACTATTCTGAAAAGTCCTTGTAAAATGAGGTTTTCAGGGACATTGGAATAGCGAGCCTGAAATAACGGGCTTGCTGTGAAGATGTGGGATAGCTATTTTGGGATACTCTGGTATCCCTAAATAGTGTTGCAGTGTAGATGTACCCGTATAGGGTTTTAAAAGGAGCAAGGTAATCAAACTTGTTTTAAGAGTCTTTTGGTAACAAACAACATACAAAAAGCTTCTGTTCTAACTATATTAATATTTGAATTGTTTATGAAGGGTCTCAAAATACATCCTATGAAGAAAATATGAAAACAAATATACAACTCACTATAGGAGACTGCAAAGCAGACACCACATTTTTTAAATGGAATGATACTTTGCATAGCTCTGATCCAAGCATCACATGCATGCTTATGTCAAACATTTTTGTATAAGGTCCAATGATAAGAGTGCTTCATGTCTCACAACGAGGTTTGTGCAGAACTCTAGATTAAACTTACCCATTCTTCCCAGTTTGCCAACTTTTCAGCCCTTTCCTCAGCTTCCTTACGCTCCCGTTCAGCTTTTTCTTCTGCTTCTTTGGCAAGGCGGGCCTCTGCTGCTTTACGTTCTAGTTCTTCCTTTTCTTCATCTGTCAAGCCATAATTTCGAGGTTCCCCAGTTGCTTTGATGATCTCTTTTACAATAAATCTGTTCTCAGGATCCTCAAACTTTGCTACATCTTTTAAACCAAAGAAAAAAGAGCATAAATGACATTATTAATTACGGAGAAAAGGGAATTCAATGATTATTGAAAACCTTTTAAATGTATTTGATATATTAAGCCATGTTAGTCTTTAACTTTAAAAACAAGTAGTTTTGTAGCACCTTAGAGACTAACAAAAATCTATTTAGCATCATGAGGTTTTTTGGGCAAAAGAAAGAGTTACTTACCCTGTACAGTAACAGTGGTTTTTCCTTGAATAGTGTCCCCATGGGTGCTCCACTCTGGGTTCTGGTGCGTCCTCGCGCTGGCGACCGGAGATTTTTCTAGAAGTATCCCCTGTGCACGTGCCGTGGTGCCCCCTTGTGCCATTAGTGTCTGTTAGGCATGCGCACAGCACAGCACCTCCATTCCTTCTCTACCTGTGCTAGTAGAGCATGGGGCTCCAAAGTAGGGGAAGGAGGAAGGGTAGTGGGGCACCCATGGTGACACACATCTTGAAGAACCACCATTACTGCAGAAGGTGAGTAACTCTTTTTCTTCCAGTAGTGTCCCTGTGGGTGTGCCACTCTGGGTGACTATAAAGCAGTCGTAGGCTTGTGGAGCTAGGTTTGGAGCCTTGTTGTTATCACTGAGGATAATACAGCTTGTCCCACAGCCATGGATGATGTGATGGAGGATGCCAGAGCGTAATGTGCGAATGTGTGGTCTGATGACTATGTGGATGCATTGTAAATGTTTTAGAGAGGTACATTCTTGAGGAAGGCAGTAGTAGAGGACATGGCCCTGCTAGAATGGGCTGTGATAATGCCAGTTGGTTCTTTATTGTGAATGGTGTAGCATGTGTGGAGGCATGAAGAGATCCACTTGGAAATCCTCTGAGAAGAGACAGCTTGTCCCTTGGATCATTCTGCGAAGGATAGGAAGAGTCTAGAGTATATTCGCCAGGCTCTTGTCCAATCAATGTAGAATGCAAGCGCTCTGTGGACGTTGAGGGTGTGCCAAGCCGCGTGCTATGGGTCAGTATGAGGCTTGGGGGAAAAGGCAGGAAAGTGTATGGGTTTGTTGATATGGAATGGACAGGGAACCTTCAGGAGATATTTAGGGTGGGTCTGTCCTTGGTAAAAATTGTATAAGGAGGGGTCTGCCATTAAGGTGGCAAGTTCCCCTATTCTCCTGCTGGAGGTTATTGCAACTAGGTAGGAGATCTTCATAGATAAGTATAATCAAGGGCAGGTCGCCAAGGGCTCAAAAGGCGGTTTTGTCAGGCTCTTAAGTACATGATTTAGGTCCCAGATGGGAACTGGTGAGCAAATGGATGGAAAGGTGTTTCGTAGACCAGTGAAGAATCTTTTGGTGATTGGGTTCAAGAGGAAAGAATCACCTTCCATGATGCGATGAAAGGTTGCTATAGCAGCTGCATGAACCTTGATAGTACTTAGAGCCAGGCCCAACTCCCTAAGGTGCAAGAGGTAGGAGGGAGAGAAGGGCGGTCCAATGGGAGGAAGAAAAGGGCAGTCTTAGGGGTTATAGTGTGAGTACATTTGAGCCACTGGGAGAACCTACTCCATTTGTAGAGGTACATTTTCCTGGTGGACTGTCTTCTGCTGTTGATTAATATTTATTTTATTCTTTCTGAGCAGGTGTTTTCGGCATCCTGGAGCCCTGAAGGAGCCAGGCGCGGAGGTGAAGCTTGCATGGTTCAGGATGGAGAATCGCACTGTGATTCTGGGAGAGAAGAGTGCATTGAAGCGGAAAAGCGTATGGATCCGACACTGTCATTCTGCAGAGGTAAGGATACCATGTTTGCTTCAACCACGCTGGTGTAATGAGTATGACTTCAGCTCAGTCTTCTGATTTTGAAGAGCACCAGCGTGTTTGAGGCAAACATGGTATCCTTACCTCCGCAGAATGACAGTGTCGGATCCATATGCTTTTCCGCTTCAATGCACTCTTCTCTCCCAGAATCACAGTGCGATTCTCCATCCTGAACCATGCAAGCTTCACCTCCGCGCCTGGCTCCTTCATGTCTCCAGGATGCTGAAAACACAGAAAGAATAAAGTAAATATTAATCAACAGCAGAAGACAGTCCACCAGGAAAATGTACCTCTACAAATGGAGTAGGTTCTCCCAGTGGCTCAAATGTACTCACACTATAACCCTGTTCAGCCAGCCAGCATCCACACTTGGAGATGCAATGTGTGAATAAGCAGGATGGTGTATCTTATCCTTGCGTTGTGAGAGGAGAGATCGGACTGGTGGAAAGCAATGCAGAGATCGGATGCTCATCTGTAAGAGTTATGGATACCACGTTTATCTAGGCCAATTGGGTGCTATGAGTATTACTTTAGCCCTGTACTGTTTGATCTTGAGGATCATCCATTGTATCAATGGAAATGGGGAGGGGAGATGCATATGACAGAAGTGTTGCCACTGTATGCTGAAGGCATCCCCCAGGGAGTGAGGGCCTATGCCTGCTCTGGAACAGTAGTGTGGGCAATGAGCATTTTTGTATGTGGCAAATAGGTCCACTGTTGGAAACACCTACCTCTTGAAGAAGCAAGTCAGCATTGATGGGTTTATTTCCCACTCATCATTTTCTGGGAATTGTTGTCCGCAAGTATGTTGTCCGTGCTTGGGAAGTAGGTTGCAACCAGGCCCGTGCTCAGGAAGTAGGTTGCATGGGATACACCATTCCCACAAGTGGTCCACCTCTCAGCAGAGTTGGTATGAGCGTGCTTCTCCCTGTCTGTTGATGTAATATATTGCAGTGACATCGTCTGTGAGAATTTGGACTATTCTGTTCTGTATCGGGTGGGGGGGAGGGGAGTGTAGGCATGTATTTCTTACTGCTCTTAGTTCGAGTAAGTTGATGTGCTGCCTTGTCTCGTCTCATGTCCATTAAGCCGTTTTAACATAGTGGTCTAGGTGTGCTCCCAGCCCAGTAGCAAAGCATCTGTTGTGATTATTACTGATGGTGGGTTGTGTTGGAAAGCGAGACCCACACCTATGTTGCAATGTAGGAGCCACCATGTAAGAGAGGACTTTATTTTGGTCAGTAAGGTAAATTATTTGTTTAAATGATGTATGCGTAGCCATGCCTATAAGGGCCTCATGTGCAGGTGAGCATGGGAAACCATGAACGTGGCCATTGCCATGTGCCCCAATATTTGTAGGCATGGCATGCTGTCATGACTGGCCTGGTCTGTGCAGTTGCTATGAGGTCCCTGATTGTGGTCAGTGCGTGGCCTGGTAAGCAGGCCTTGGCCTCTCTGCAATCTAAATGCACTCCTATAAATTCTAATGTCTGAGGTGGGGTCAGTGTGCACTTTGCTATATTTATCTGAAATCTGAGGGTGTCTAAGAGGATTCTGATCATTGTAACAGTTTGTTGTGTGTCCTGTTGTGTAGGACCCATTAATAGATAATTGTCTAGCTATGGGAATATTGTGATGCCCCTTTTGTGCAAGTGTGCGGCTACTGCTGCCAGCACTTTCAAGAACACTCATGGGGCTGTTGAGAGCTTGAGTGGTAGCACTCTATACTGGAAGTGTCTGTCCTTTATTACGAAATGGAAAAATCTTCTGGATGACAGGTGTATTGATATATGAAAATAAGCATTCTGGAGGCTGACGGTAGACAACCATGCTCCCTTTTCCAAGGCAGGAATGATCATGATGCAGGAATGATCATGATGAGGTGGTATCAGACAAAGCAGCTAAGCTCATGGAGGTCAAATATAGGTCTCCATCTGCCAGACTTCTTGGTGATGAGGAAGTAATGAGAGTAAAAACCCCTGCAGCTGTGCTCCTGCGGTACCTCTTCTATGGTATCAAGTCTTGGAAGCTGTTCTGCCTCTTGTACGATCACATGCTTGTGGGAGGGGTCCCTGAAGAGGGACGGGCAAAAGGTTGGGTGGCAGGGACAACTAAAAATGGGATGCAGTATCTGGTTCTCATGATTTCCAACACCCACTTGGTGGTGGTGATGGCTCACCAGGCTGGATAAAATACAGCTAGTCTTTTGCCAAATATTGTGGTTTGGATTGCTGCCTCTGAAATTTCGGGGTCGTCAGACCCTCGACCAGGACTTCAAAACTGTTGTCTGGATGTTGAAGGTTGTTGAGATGTTGACTGATTAGAGGCCTTGTCTGAGCCTATTTTGGTGTGGTTAGCATCTGTTGTCATAGTGTCATTGTTGTTGGTTGAAGGGTGGAGGTCTGTACCTTTGTGTGAGTGATCTGCCTTCTTTTCTTTTTGAATAGTTACATGAATGCCTAGAATCTTCAGTGTGGCCCATGAGTCTTTTACGGTATGTAGAGAAGCGTTTCTGGATTCTGCGAAGAACTTTGTACCCTCGACTGGCAAGTCTTATACTGTTGATAGGTCTTCACTCAGAAATCTGGAGAGCTGAAGTGAAGCAGCTCGCCTTCTTACCAAGGCCAAGGACCTGGCTGCCATGTTCGTGGAGTCCAGCGCAGCCTATAAAGCTGTTATAAAGATTAATGGCCCTTCACTGATATTTGACTTAAACTGCTCTCTTTTGTTATCAGGAAGGGACTCAATAAAAGTTTCTAATTGGTCAAAATGTAGTCTGTGTACTTCGCTAGTAATGCCACATAGTTGGCTATTCTGAGCTGGAGGCTTGCTGATTAGCATGCTTTTCTCCCTATCATGTCCAACCTCTTCCAGTCGCTGTCATAGGGAATAGTACAAGTAGCTTGTTGCTTCCCTCTTTGATTCATGCTTCCACCATGAGAGAGTTTAGTGCTGGGTGGGAGAACAGGAATTGTATTCCCTTGGGGGCAACATAGTATTTCTGATCTGATCTTCTGGAGGTTGGCAAGATTATGGCAGGCATTTGCCAAATACTTTTGGCAGAATCCATAAACTAGATAACTTGTCAGTCAGATAAAAGGGCAACTGCTGAGCTGCAACTTTGTCTGTTGCAGATCATTTATACACAGTTATGATTTGTGAGAACAAAGCTGAAGAAAATGTTCATTGACAGCCATGATATTGAAAATCAAGGACTGAATAGTATTGTACTAATTCACCAGTCCAGCAAGAGAAGGGTCTGTGTTCTCATTATAAAAGAATAATTCACTTAGGCCCAGTCTACAATACTGTGGGCCGTCAATCTAAGTAATGCAACTTCAGCAACATGAAAATAATACTTAGATCTACTTACTGTGATGTCTTCACTGTGGTGAGTTGATGGCGGATGCTCTCCTGTCAACTCTACCTATGCTTCTTGTTCTTGTAGAATACCAGCATTAACGGGAGAGTTCTCGGTAGTTGATTTATTGTGTCTATACTAGACGCAATAAATCAACCCATGCTGAATCAATTGTTGCCTGTCAATCTGACAGGTAGTGTAGACATCCCCTTAGCCTCTAAAAGTGGACCTTTAGAATGGGTACACTATATGAGCCAATGGCAGTATAGACCGAGCTATTTTGGCAGCTTTCCCAAATTATAAGAATACAGAAATACTCCTGCAGTAGTGCAAACACATTCTGCAGCAGTGCAAACACAGATTTGAGACCCAAGTGACCATTACAAATATACCATTTTATCTTTGTAAAATATTGTATTATTTCCATGGAAAATATATTATGTTTCTAACTGTTTATGTAAAATTTAACTTTTATTTCCGTACCGATAAACTGTGGATGTATTTCAAGTTCATCAAAATAGTTGAGAACTGTCTCATCTTCAGTGTTTAACTCCCTGAAGAGACTCAGAGTTCTCAAAAACCGGTCCTGAGTATAATGAGTTCCAGCCACAACACTCTCTGGAAGATTCATTACTCGGTTTTTTAGGAATTTATCTGAGGCGTTCAAAGAAACTACATATTCTGTGGAACAAAACAGATTTATGAGAGTTAGATACAATGTCATCATTTTGTTTTATTTTTCTGCTATCAATAGATAATTGTATGTAAGTAATAAATTCCAAACTACTAGTGAACAGAGACAAACAACAGATTTTTACTTCTCTCCATACAAAACAGCATTACGGAATGCTCCATCAGAGAGGGTATGTCTACACAGCAGCATTATTTCAGAATAACTAATGTTATTCCGAAATAACATAGTCCATGTCTACACACAAGCATTTATTTCAACATAATGGTGAAATAATTTCCAGCAGGAGGACTTTTTACTCTGAGTCCTGTAACCCTCATTTTATGAGGATTAAGGGAAGTTGGAGGAAAAGTGCTCTTTCTCAAGCTACATCTAGATTACAGGCTTTTTGTGCAAGAAGCTTTTTTCGGAAGAGATCTTCCGAAAAAACTTCTTGCGCAAGAGTGCATACACACACAAAAGAATATCAAAAAAGCAATGTGCTTTTGCGAAAGAGAGCCTCCAGACTCATTGGACACTCTCTCGCATAAAAGGCCAACTGGAACCACTTCATCCAGGGCTTTAGGTCATCAGTTTCTTCCCACTGCTGGTGCCGGAGCCTTGCAGAGACGCGCACTTAAAAGGACCGCTCAGGTCAGCTGTTTCTCTGCTTCTGCTGTGTGTGCTTGCTACCTCTTTGAGAGACAGCAAAGCTTTATCAGTGCCTGCTGTGATTGCCCTCTTCTTTTTTGGATGCCTCAGCTTTGTTCTTTAGTGCCATGGAGCCAGAGCTGCCCCATGGCAAGCAATGACCCCACACGGCCATGCTGCAGTTTTTGTAGGACTTTGTGTCTGCTGTCTTCCTAGTCCTGCAGGACCTGGACCCCAAGCTCATTCTGGGGTCCCTCTCCATGGCTGCTCCACTCTGGCAACCATACCCCGCAGTGGAGAGAAGACTCTGGAGGCTCGACACCAGTTCAGACTGGTGGGACTGGCTGGTCCTGGAGCAGTGGAATGACCAGCAGTGACTCACCCTCTCTCATTCTCTGTGTTGTGTGTTTCTTTGTCTCCTTCTGCAGGTGGTGAGGGCCATCAACTCTCTCCAGCTGAGGAGGGTAATCCGTCTGGGAGACCTGGATGCAACTGTGGCCAGATTTGCTGCCGTGGGGTTCCTTAACTGTAAGGAGAGCCCCACCCCCTTGGCCCATGGACAAGCAGCCAAGGGAAGTGTCCGGCCATAGTGGGATCCCCTCATGGGTGGCAGAGGAGCCAGGAGCAGCCTGGGCCTCCCGGGGGTCTGCATACATAGGTGCGGGTCACTGGGCTGTGCGTGGGAGTGGTTGCTGCCTCGCACATGCCGGAATGCCTGTGTGCTGTGTGTGGCACTCCTTGGTCTGTGTGGGGTTGTTCCTGTGCCCTTGTAGCTAGCCTGCTTCAGCTGGGGTGCTCCCCCCCGCCTTGTGGCAGGATGTGTGTGGCCTCCCCTGAGCCTGGCAGCAGGATCCTGGGCATGTTCAGGGGCTGCCTGCTGCATCCATGTGCCACACAGTAACGCAGCACATGGTTGCACATGCACGGACCACAGCTCAATCATCCCGCACAACACTCCCCTCTTTCCTCTGTGCACCCACCTCTCCCACCCTGTGTGTGTGACAACGTGAGACCACTCACCTGAAGATCCCGCCCAGGCGTCCGAGGAGTCCTGGGAGACATCTTTGGTCACTGATACTGGCTCCAGGGAGAAGGTCACAGTGCCTGTCTCCTCCTCTGGTGTGGCTGGCTGGCCCTGGCCCTCCTGTTCCTTCTCCAGGGCGACCTCTAGCCAGATGATAATGGGGATCTCAACCCCGTAGTCCACTGGGATGAGTAGGGTAGACGTTTCCCCATCTCCAGGATGTGGTGCAGCTCCCTGTAGTAGTGGCAGGTGTGGGGTCCTGCCCCTGAGCCTCGGTAACTCGGCCATATCCCTGGCAGAGCTCTTTTACTTTATAAATTTTGGTGTTCCGCTACTTGGCCTGGGGATTTTGTAAGTCTCCTCCTTGCACCACAGCTCAAGGAGAGACACAATCTCTGGGCCTGTTCAGAATGGGGCACACCTCTTGGCCCCCTGGGTGGTCCTGGGATCCCTGGGGCTTCTCCCTGCGAGAGCCAGGAGGGTAGCAGGGGGCTTATGGGGCAGACATGGCTGTAGCAGGGAGAGCCACACAGTGAACTGCTCCTCTGTGTCTAACTTCCTGGCACAAGGCTTTTTCAGTGTGCCTGAAGCTTTAAGAAGGGCCAGGGACAGGAACTATAGAGTTGTGATTAGCTTGTATGGAGTGGCCACCAGGGCACCTATGCTTTTTACTGGAGGTCTCTTCTTGCACAAAAAAACTCTCCTCCCTGTCCACACATGCCTTTTTGCGAAAGAGCTCTTCCTCATAGAATGAGGATTACCAAATGCTCAAAAAGCCCTCTGTTCTTTCGATTTACTATTGAAAGAACACGCTTGCAGTGTGGCCGTAACTCAGGTTTTGTTGGAAAAACAGCCTTTTTTCCAACAAAACTCTGTAGTCTAGACATAGCCTCATACTTACTGCTGTGTAGACAGTGCCAAAAGCTAAAATAAGTTATTTTAGATTTAGTTTGGCTGTGTAGATGTACCCTTCAACTGTGTACTTAGAGTAATTCACCAATTTTTAACAGTAAACAAAAGTGCTTTGGAAAAAACCCTGAGGTTCTAATGTTATCTAAGTTAAAAACTGTAAAGTTTAACTCCAAACTATGGATCACATCCTACCACACTTAGGGTATGTCTACACTACCACCCTAGTTTGAACGAGGGTGGTTAATGTAGTCATTCGAAGTTGCAAATCAAGTCCGGGATTTAAATATCCCGGGCTTCATTTGCATCTTGCCGGGCGCTGCCATTTTTAAATCCCCTTTAGTGCAGACTCCATGCCTGCGGCTACACGCGACATGGAGTAGGTAGTTCGAATTAGGCTTTCTAATTCGTGGAACGAGGTGTAACGGTAGTTCGAATTAGAAAGCCTAATTCGAACTACCTACTCCGTGCCGCATATAGCCACGGGCACGGAGTCCGCACTAATGGGGATTTAAAAATGGCGGCGCCCGGCAAGATGCAAATGAAGCCTGGGATATTTAAATCCCAGGCTTCATTTGCAACTTCGAATGACTACATTAACCAACCTCGTTCGAGCTAGAGTGGTAGTGTAGACATACCCTCACTGACTGAACTCATTAGGACTATTCACGGAATAAGGAACTATTCAACATGAGTAACAGTGGCAGAATCTAGTTCTAAAGCCCCAAAGAAAGCTGCCATACACAACAGTCAAAATGCTTTAAGTAGTAGAATATGAAAAGATCTATGAAGTAAGGACTAATTTATCTGATTTTATATATGCTATTGGAAATTGGTGCAGCATTTTAGCAAAATCAGGCAGCCAGTTCTCTTTTCTCAGAGCAAAATTTATAGACTCAATCAAGTACAGCATATGGGTTAGGAAAACTCAGAAAATGAACAAAAATGCTTCCCAGCTCAGCACAGCCATAGGTAGAGAGTGTAATCATCTCTCATATGGTCACTCTTCTTTTCTTAGAACAGCTGTTTTTTCGATCTCCGCTGCAAATCCTGATGACATGGTCAGCATAAAGCATCTGCAATCTATCATAATGGGTGCGTCTAGACAAATTGCAAATTGCTTAGCTTATTCTACGTCTAGACCGAAATAACTTATTTTAAAATTTGGCACTCTGTAGACAGTGCCAGATTTCAAAATAAGGCATCATTCTGACAAATCCCTTAACTCTGGTGGAACGAAGCTTACAGGGACAACGGAATAGCATGTCTGCTATTTCGGGAAATAGTGGGTGTGTTTAAAGATGCAGCATTGCTATTTCAGGATACTTCCGGTATCCCGAAATAGCGCCACAGTCTAGACATACCCAATGATTTATTCATGTTTTCACTTTAAAAATGTGGACAAGTGTCTCAATTTATGAACAAAAGAAACTGCTTAGTTTAGAAGTTAGTGCTTCATCATCTGTTACTGTCTGTAGAGGCCTGGATCAAGACTTTGTTCCAGCGAAACTAGGGCCATTATATGCAAACCAGCAACAGAAGAAGCACTGCTTAATGGTGTGATTATTCTTTTAGAACTCCAGCCTTTGTAAACTTACCTGGAGTGATTAATTTATCATACCGATGAACTTTATTTCTTGTCTCTTCTTCCTCATCATCTTCAACTAAAGTAAAAATACAATATAATTAGTACCGTCACCTGCAGAAACCATATTACTAATGTTTGCTAAAGAGGTGCTTGTAATGATACCCGTCCTTAATGTAAAAACTGAAAAAACAAAGAAGTGGGTTGTGCCCATGAAAGCTCATGATACTATCTACATTTTTGGTTAGTCTCTAAGGTGCGATGGGACCATTAGTTGTTTTTTCCACTTAGGGTGCATCTACACAGCAGGGCTTAACTTGAAATAAGCTACCAAACTGAGCTACGTCAATTGCATAGCTTATTTTGAAATAGCTTATTTCGAAATTGGGAGTGTCTACACAGCACTTATTTTGAAACAGCAATCTTCCTATGACTTCCATTACTCCTCGTACAATGAGGGTTATAGGAGTCGGAGTAAGCAGTCCTCCAGCTTGACAGTATTATTTCAAAAAAACTGCCTGCTGTGTAGACACTAGTTATTTCAAAATAATGTTGCTGTATTGATGTACCCTTACAAATTAATACAACTACCCTTCTGTCCTTTATATAGTACCAGTTCTTTATATGGTCAAATGACACTAACTTATGAACCCTGACAGCACCATTGTGAGATAGGTGGGTAAATAATTCTAAAAAAAGTGTAGATGTTTCTAAATAAGAAGCACATTATGATTCTAGGTCTTCATGATTCAGAAGAGTCTAAAAAGTTCTATTGTTTAAAATTAGCTTGGTGTGTCATTTATCTCTACATATGATTTTTTTTCACATAGCTATAATATATGAACATCTTTTAACACAGAGAGCCTGCCCAACCACTGCAAAATTCTGCTACATGATACACTTTATTACTTCTCTGTGGAGAAGCAACATGCACACCCACCATCTGCTGGCCAACTCCTGCTGCTGAGAAAACATACACTATTTTAGAAGAATGGTGGGGGACATGTCTCCTAATTTGTAGACAATGCCTGCTTAGAGAAAGATCCTCAACTGGTATAAATCACATTGCACCATTGACTTCAGTGGAATTATATTGATTTACATGAAATGACGGTCTGAGCTGGCTCACTACCTGGACTCTCTTCTTAAAGCAGTCTTGTGGTAATCTTACTGGGTGGAATAGGCTCCTGTACTATTTCCCCCAACCACTATACAAGAGCCACAGAAGGACTGAGATCTTCATGTTTGTAAATTTATTTATTTATTCATTTATTTGCCAGGACAGATATTTTGAAAACACTGTCTTCCTTAAAATAGGCCAAGTTTACTTTTACAAGTTATTACAAGTAAGAAAATCAGCTCCCAGCGCTGTAACTCCCAAGGTGTCCAAAATGGCAAGGTACTTAATGTGCACTAACTCTGCAGTTGCTGTGCTCTAGGCCATGTCTACACTGGCAGATGTAAAGAACTAGCTATTACAGCACCGGTCTCAGAGAACAGAAGTGAAAATGTTGTTGGGTGTCCAGAGTTAGCTGCCAGTGCAGTAGCATGACCACACTTGAGGCACTTGCAGTGGGAGTGGTGCACTCTGGGCAGCTATTCCACAGAGCACCTCCTTCCCTTCTCTTACAGAAGTTTGTGGGAAGGCGGAAGGTAAGCATAGGGTATCTTGGGTCCTGTCCCAATGTCCCGGGGTGCATCGCTTCTCATCCCAGCAACTCCTGTGCTTCCATCCACATTTGGTACCATCTTTCAACGGCTTTTGTGCTGCACACTCTGCCTCCTTGGTCTGAGGGAATGGATCCGCAGCTATTAATGAAAATGTTGATAGGTCTCAGGAACATTCATAAATGGCAGTCAAAGTATTCCTGAATTTGCAAAGTGACCATGAGGAGTCCATGCATTGTACATACGACATGAGATTTCTTGTGGCATTCACAAGAGTTGCTGACCACAGCAGAATGCCTTTTTTGGCCTGGGGAAACAGACACTGAGTGATAGGATCACATCATCATGCAAGCTTGGGAAGACAAATGGTGTCTACAGAATTTTCAGATGAGGAAAGCCACTTTCATAGACAGCAAGCGAAGCTCACTGCCACCACCATGCAGCACAAAGACACAAGAGCATATTCTGACACAGAAAATCAGAGCTGTCTTGATTATGGAAAGCATGTAGCAATCACATTGTGGAAGCTGGCTACTCCAAATAACTTTGCTCAGTCACCAGTTAGTTTCTAGTGGGGAAGTTGACTGTTGAACTAGTGCTGAGGGAAGTATGCAGGACCATCAACTGCATCCTGCTCTGTGACTCTGGGCAATGTGCATAAAATTGTGGATGGTTTTGCACAGATGGGCATCCTATACTGCGATGAGGTAATAGGTGGCAAATACATTCCAATTCAGTCACCAAACCACCTAGCCTCTGAATATATTAACCAGAAAGGGTATTTCCATTGTTCTGCAGGCACTTGTGGATCACTGTGGGTGTTTCATGGCAGGCTGGTCTGGAAAGGTGCATGACGCTCACATCTTTTGGAACACAGTCCTGTTCAGGAAGCTGCAAGTGAGGACTTTGTTCTTGGACCAGAAGATCACGGTGGGAGAAGTAAAAATGCCACTTGTTATCCTTAGAGACCCTTCCTACCCCTTAATACCGTGACCCTCGAAACCATATATGGGGAACCTTGATAGCAGTAAAGAGTAGGGATGTAAGTGACTAGTCAACTATCCAATAAGCAAAAGCTTATCAGATACTCAGCTAGTCCCTCAACTAGTCTATCAGAGGCAGCAGGGGGTAGGGGGGAGCAGGAGCTGGTGCTGGTGCAAGCCAGCTTAAAAGGCGGTTCTCCCCAGCATTATTTCCGCAGAGGACTGGGGAGGCAGGGAGTTAGTGGGGACCAGGTGCAAGCTGGGAATCAGCTGATTCCCGGCTCGCCCCTAGTCCCAAATGCTGCACCTTTGCTTTTAAAATGAATTAAGAGCCTGCTGGTTCCTAATACATTTAAAAATCAGAAGCGCAGTGGATGGACCTGGCGCAAGCTGGGACAGCTGATTCACCTTTTTACATTTAAGGCTGGTGTGCAGCAGGGTGACCCAGCGAGAGCCGGGAATCAGCTGGCCTGGCTCACGCCGCATCCCCCTCACTGCACTTCAGCCTTTTAAATGTATTAAGAGCTGGCAGATTCTTAATACAGTTAAAAGGCTAAAGCACAGTATGTGAGGACCCAGCGCAAACCAGAAATCAGCTATCCCGGCTTGTGCAGAGTCCCCCCTGCTGAAGCGACAGAGCCACTGTGGGGTTAGTTCTCGGGGCCAGGAACTAACTCTGCTGCAACTCCCCCACTTATTGACTAATCGATGGAAAATCCCTTGACTAGCTGATGAGTTGATTAAAGTAAATTTAACATTCCTAGCAAAGAGTGGTTGCATAACAGGCTGCACACGTGCAGAATGACTTTGGAGTGTGCTTTTGGCCATTTGAAAGCCCACTGGTGCTCTCTGTATGGGAAGCTGGTCTTGGCCGATGATGACACCCCTTTGATTATCACTGTGTATTGTACCAGCCATAGTATTTGTGAAGGGAGAGGTGAAAACTTCATTCAGGGCTTGACCAATTTCAGCACCTAGAAGCTAAATTTGTACAGCCCAAAATCAGGGCTGTTAGAGGAGCACAATGCAGGGCCATAAGGATCAGGGTGCCTTGAGGCAGAAATTTGATGCTGAAAATTTGTTGCATGCATGGGATTGCAGTGGCTGCATTGCCAGGGAGTTACTCTGATTGACCCATGTGCTGCACTTACCACTGCACTGACTGCAGCTTTGCTGGGATGCTCTTGCTTGCTTGCTTTCATGTAGTGGAATAAAGATTGCTTTGAAACACATGAATTTCATTTATTAAACATTCAACATAGGCCAAACATGAAGCATGACACATCTGCACTTGGTGAGAGACAGGGATGAAGGAGGGGAGAAGAGGAAGTTACTCACCCTGATAGTAACTGATGTTCTTCGAGATGAGTCTCCCAGTGGGTGCTCCACATTAGGTCAGTGCACTGCCGCCGAGCATCAGAGTGGAGATTTCACAGCAGTGTTTGTGGGGCTGCACAGGTTCACACCAACAGTTACACCCTGTTAGGCTGCAGGCATCACACAGGTCTGAGCTCCCCCCCCCCCACACTCCTCAGTTCCTTCTCTACCCTGAAACCATGGCTTGGGAAGGCCAGATCCCAAAGTAGAGGGGAGGAAGGGAGGGTTGTGGAGCACTCATAGGGACACTAATCTCGAAGAACATCAGTTACTATTGAGGTGAATAACCTCCTCTTTGAGAGAGAGATGTCCCCAGGGGTGCTCCACATTAGGGGTGTGTCTAGACTACAGGGTTTTGTCGACAAAAGTGGACTTTTGTCGACAAAACTATACCTGTGTCCACACTGCCTTTGAGTTATGTCAACATAACGTCGACAAAACTCAGCAGTTTTGTCGATGCTGGTAAACCTCATTCTACGAGGAATAACGCCTTTTGTTGACAGAGTTCTGTCGATAGAAGGCATTATTGCATCTAAACTGTCCTTTGCGTCCACACTGTTATGTCGACAAAGAGGCTTGCTTTGTTGACAGAACTGAATGTAGTCTAGACGCTCTTTGTCGACAGAAGTTTTGTCGACAGTATCTGTCGACAAAACTTCTGTCAACAAAAGCCTGTAGTCTAGACATACCCTAGGTGACTACAAAACAATTTCCCTTTAGGGAGGAAGGGACCTTGGATCTGGTAAAAAAGCAGTGGAAAGAACTTACTTAGCTAGTTTCAGGTTGGAAAGAGGTCCCTGCGTATGTGCATAGTGCTTTGCAAATGTGTGGTTGGAGGACCACGTGGCAGCTGCGCAGATGCCTCTTATGGGTACTTTACAGAGGAATGCTATTGAGGTAGCCATGGCTCTGGTTGAGTGTTCCCTTATACTCTCTGGAGGCAGCACGTCTTATTGTGCGCAGTAAAGCTTGATGCAATCCAAGATCCAGTGGGAGAGTCTCTGTGATGAGACGGCTTGGCCTTTACTGTGGTTTGCTATTGAAACAAATAGTCTGGGAGACGCTTGGAACGGTCTTTTTACTGTAGGTAAAAAGAGAGTGCTCTGCGCAGGTCAAGAGTATGCATTTTTATCTCAAAAGAGTTAGTGTGTGCTTTGGGGAAGAAGATGGGAAGATGTATTGTCTGGTTGATATGGAAGGATGAGTGTATTTTGGGGAGGAATTTGGGATGTGTATGTAAAGTGACCTTGTGTTTAAAAAAATGTGGTATACGGAGGATCTGCCATTAGAGCCGCGATCTCTCCTACCCATCTGGCCAAGGTAATAGCTACAAGGAAAACAGTTTTCATGGACAAGAGTAATAATGAGGTGGTCGCCATTAGTTCAAAGAGCAGCCTAGTTAGAGCATTCAATACTAAATGCAGGTCCCACGGTTGCATTGGTGGATTGATATCTGGATAAGGTGCCTTCAGGCCCTTTAAGAACCTCTTGGATGAGCAAATACAGACGAGTCATCTATCTTGGAGTGGAACGTAGTAATAGCAGTAAGGTGAACTTTAATGGAGCTTATTGCGAGGCCCGCTTGTTTAAGGTGCAGAAGATAGTCGAGGATGTTGAAGGAACCAGCCGGTGACAAGCACACCACGTTGAGAATCTTTTCCATTTCTGAAGGTAAGTTTTGCAGGTGCTCTGTACCCTACTATGTAGAAGTATTGTATTTGCTGTGAGCAGGTCAACTTTAGGTCAGAGAACCATCCATGAGTCATGCCTTCAGGTGTAGTGAGTGGAGGTTCAAATGGGCATTGTGAGAGCCCGGGTGAAGAAGGAGATCCCTGATGCAAGGTAAGTGGATCGGTGGGGCGCAGGACATCGCTTCTAGGAAGGGAAACCATGACTGGCGTGGCCTTGCTGATGCTTTAAGTATGAGACGAGCCCTGTCCCTCCTTATCTTGTGAACGCCCTGCTCAATAGGGGAATAGGAAGAAACGCATAGTCTAGGATGTCCATGTGATAAGAAAAGCATCCTCCATTGCTCCCTTGCCTATTCCTGCCCCGGAAGAGAATAGGGGGCATTGACTATTGGACTGCGTGGTAAACAGGTCTATGGTAGGGTGACCTCACCGGTGGAAGATGTCCGCCAATATGTACGGGTTCATTTGCCACTTGTGTTCGACCAGGAGGGCTCTGCTGAGTACATCTGCCATTGTATTCAGGGGCCTGGAAGATGCACTGTTGTGATAATTGTGTTGTATTTCAAGGACCAGTTCCAAAGTGCTATGGCCTCTGTGCAAAGTGCTCAAGATCAGGCTCTGCCCTGATGATTTACATAAAACATTGCTGCAACGTTGTCTATGTAGTCTGACGTGTCTGTTGGTGATGAATGGGAGGAATTTGACACATGCATTCCTGACTGCCCTCAGTTCTAAGACATTTATGTGCAAGTTCTTGTTGGTGCTGGACCACAGGCCCTGGTAGGTATGACGACACAGATGGGAGCTCCATCTTGTACGAGATACATCTGTCGTCATGGAGACAGATGGTTCTGGTGAGTGGAAGGAGACTCCAGAACACAGGTTCTGTGGGCTCAGCCATCAGCGTGAGGATTCCTTTACTATTCCTGGAAGAGTAAGGAATTTGGAGAGCGGATGGACATTTGTACACCTGTCACAGCCAGCTCTGTAAGCATCTCATGTGCAGATGGGCATTGCCAACTACGAAGTTGCACGCTTCCATGTGCCCCAACAGCTGAAGGCATTCAAGTGCTGTTGTGCAGGGGCTGGATTGTAAGGTATTTACCAAGGCCACAATTTTTTGAAAACGGTCTGTAGGTAGGGATGCGGAGGCCATTGTTGAATCGAGGCATGCTCCTATAAACTGTATCTTTTGTGTAGGAGAGAGTAGCATAAGGAGACAGCATGGCCTTAGAAGGAAGTTCCCCTAAAGACTCTTTGGTGGGTGGTGCTAGAGCATCCCAGCCCTGCCCCCAGGAAGCAGAAGGGCAGGGCCAGAAGTATATTTAAATCCCGGGCTTCATTTGCAACTTCAATTGACTACATTAACCACCCTAGTTCGAACTAGGGTGGCTAGCGTAGACATACCCTGTAAGTGGTCTTGGTGTTACTAGATGGGACAGTACACTGCACCCAGAAAGTGTGTGGGTTACAAAGTGATGTATAGGTTGAATCTCTTATCTGGCACACTTGGAACCTGACCCGTGCCAACCCAGAGAATTTACCAGAGGTCAATAATGTCTAGAAGCATTATCAACACTTCCACTACTTACTGGGCTCTTAGAAGAAATTTAAGGGTAAATTAGACACAAATAACAGCACAGAACACTAAAAGCCAGGACTGATGACTGTAAACAAAATTTATGGGACTGAGAGAAACTCAGCCACACTCATGATAAATGAACATGGAGCTAACTAAAATCATGCCAGACCACAGACGTTTCTAGACCAAAGAGTGCCAGATTAGAGGTTCAACCTGTACAATCCTTCAATTGTAAGCTTCATAGGAAAAATACTATTTTTATGTTTGGATCCTGCACAGCAGTCAGCACAGTGTTGACGGTTAACGTATAACAAATAATATTTATACTTCACAAATACTTTAACTTACGATTAAACAGATCTTTTGCCTGGTCATAGGTCTTTGGAAATCCATCTAAAACATATCCCTGATTCTTGCAAGGCATAGACTTTAGCTTTTCTTTCATGAATTTAATCACATACTGATCATCTAGACGACCTGAAAATTTAACATATGCAGTCAAATAGAGTTAACTATATATGGTTTATGTAGAAGATGAACATCTGAAATAATTTACTAATATTTTTATATGCTTGTCAGAAAGTCTTTGAGTTAAGATCCGAAAATGTTTAATGGCATCACTATTTGGTAAATACCCAGAATCACCTATTGTAATACTGATATGTTACACAATCTTCAGAATACCACACCATTATCAGGTTTAAAATTAAAGACTTCTTTCATAAAACTGTTAATGTTTGATGAGTTTAACTATTATCCAGAGATCAAAGGAATAAAAAAGAGATATAGATATATAGATATAGATATACCCAGGGACTTGCAGTTTCTCTTGAAGCATCTAGAATTAATTTCTGAGTTTACTTGACAAAGCATAACAACATTTACGGTGCATCTACACAGCAGCGTTATTTTGGAGCCATTATTCCGAAATAACAATGCAAGCCTCTACACAGCAATTCTGTTATTTTGAAATAATTTCGAAATAACGGATAGCTTATGTCAACTTCTGTAAACCTCATTGCATGAGGAATAACACCTATTCCAAAATAGCTATTTCAAAATAGCTGCAGTGTAGACCTTCCATTGCTGCTATTTTGAAATAGCTCCTCCCCAGGGCTATTCAAACTAATTACTCCCCAGTGCCTCCTGGGGCTCTAAATCAAGGTCCACATTAGGAAAGCCTGCCTCGGACTAATTTTGAGGCTTCCCTGTAGTGTAGACGTGCTATTTCAAAATAAGCTATTTCAGAGTACTTCTTCCGGAATAACATTCATCCAAGGGTGGAGATTCTCAAATCTGCACCATCCTTTGTGGGTGATGAATCTGAGGAACTGTCCCGGATTGAAGTGTCATTAGAGGAGGTTTTGGAACAAATAGAAAAACTTAATGTCAACAAATCTCCGGGACCAGATGGCATTCATCCATGGATTCTAAAAGAACTCAAATGGGAAACTGCTGAACTATTATCTGTGGTTTGTAACCTATCCTTTAAATTGGCTTCCGTACCTAATGACTGGAAGGTAGCTAACGTGACACCAATATTTAAAAAGGGCTCTAGAGGCGATCCTGGCAATTACAGACCAGTAAGTCTAACTTCAGTACTGGGCAAATTAGTTGAAACAATAGTAAAGAATAAAATTGTGAGGCACGTAGAAGAACATAATTTGTTGGACAAAAGTCAACATGGTTTCTGTATAGGGAAATCATGTCTTACTAATCTAAGGGTATGTCTACACTACCACCCCAGTTTGAACTAGGGTGGTAATGTAGGCAACCGGAATTGCAAATGAAGCCCAGGATTTGAATTTCCCGGGCTTCATTTGCATCTCGCCGGGCGCCGCCATTTTTAAATGTCCGCTAGTGCG